GCAGGGGACTAGCATGCAAAAAAGAAAAAAGGTAGACAAGCTGAGATACCAACAGTCTGCTCTGGTGAATCAGTCTCTCAGGACTATTTAGTAACACAGAGTATGGGATAAGCTAAAGAGAAACATTAATATTTTCTAGAAAGCTTCATACATCACCCTCTCCGCCTGTCACCGTCTTGCTTCTTATACCTATTATAATTATAAAGTATTCTTTAGGTAAAGATGATATTCTAAATGGGAAAGTAAGTCATGCAGGAACTTCTCAGAACCTCATACAAATGTACTCCTACTTTTCAGGTACAGGCTGCAGGATGAACAGCTTCATATAAGAAGGTTTATGGTTGTATAGCTGGCCAGGAGCTTTTAATTTTGCCTAGGATATACCACAGGATGGAAGAATAATCCATCCATGCTGGTAACAGCAGCTCTATGAAGAGAATAAAGACATTGCAGATTCTATATTCAGGTGCTACTAGCCCAATGAAAGGTCAGCAAACTAACACCAAACACAACAAACTCCACAAAATTCAAGGAAGAGCTCCTGCTACAGTTATATCCTTTACATTTCTTCAGGCAGAAAAAAAAAAACAACCACCACAGCAGCATCCTGAAGCGAAGTTATACCAGGTCTCAGAGCCTCTCACTCTAGAAGCCACTGCAGATGAACACAGGCTTTGAGTGCTCTAACCACACCTGGCCGGTACCAGCAAATAGAGAGCTCACCTGTATTCGTCATTGGGATGTGCAATCTCCACAACATCTCCCAGCTTGATCTGAAGAAATACTTTAGGATTCACCACAAGTTCATCATCTACAAGACACAGGTAAATGAGAACTGCAATCAACAGATACACACCAAACACAGATGCTTGCACGTTTGTACACAAGAGCCTGCTCACCACACACCCCCAGGATTAACACGTCAGCGAGGGGTTACATTCACTGCGTGACAGTGCTCCTACCCAGCTGCTTCAGTCTGGCCACTCTTGTGGGCAAAAAACCTTCCTTCAAATCACAGAACTTTCACAAAAGATCTGTTCAGCAAAAGAGTGTGCCTTAGTTAGGCAACCGGAATCTTCTGTGTTTTTCCTTACAACAAACATCAGCAGGAAAGCAGGTAACTACAGAATCTTAGTGAGCTGTATTAACATGCTACTATTTTAGTCTAAAAGTAGGGAACAATTCCACTCAAATATGAGGAGAAACTTCTTCACGGTGAGGGTGACGGAACCCTGGAACAGGCTGCCCAGGGAGGTTGTGGAGTCCCCTTCTTTGGAGATTTTCAAAACCCGCCTGGATGCAGTCCTGAGTAACATGCTCTAGCTCTAGGCAATCCTGCTTCAGCAGGGGAGTTGGACTAGATGATCTCTATGGTCCCTTCCAACTCTAGAAATTCAGTGAAATTCAGTGAAATTACATTTTTCTTAGTACACTGAAACACATCGACATGCAGTCACAGGTCATTGACTTGTCGGCCACTTACTAAGAGTGACTGAAATACAAGGGTAAAATAAAAGTGACAGAACAAAAGGGGAAGAGGAAGAATAAAGCAATTTTATTTTATAGGTGCAATCTCATTCTGTTCTAACAAATGCAATTTTATTCTGCTGTGTCTTGCTATTAAAAAAGAGCTTTCCAAACGCTGGCTGGTATTACTGCTTGTCACGTCAAACTTCCACTGTTTTGTTAAAGAGATCAATAAATCAGTTAATTGCTTCAAATTCAGTAAGAAAGTGCTGGCCTCACTGTTATTGTTGTGGTTTGGGCACCAGGACTGTTAGGAACCAAGAGATACTGACCACTGCCTCCAAAGCCCTTCTTATGTATGACGAGCTTGTACACCTTGTTGGTTCTCATCTTGAATTCCAGTTCTTCTCAGCTGCTTTGCGTAAAAACAGTTGAAGACATCGTGCACATCTGATATGGGAATGAAAGCAAACACAGATCTTGTCATTACAGAAGTTCTTTATACTCTTTGCGTGAACAAAAAAGGATGTTGTGCCACCACGTAGCTAAGAACGCCACACGTGACAGGCTGGCACATTACAAAGTTTAATAAACATCAGACTAAAAGTTTAGTAACAACCTCTTCTACCAGCGCGCCTGTCAGAGCTAGTATTGCTCTCTAAAATCATCTCTTTTATATTTCAAGGATAAATTCTGAACCTTACGTTAAATACATGAAAACGAATACCCAGACTTATGCCCACTGCCAGCTGTAATTTCTGTTTTTCCTCCTCTTTCACACAACTTTTTCTGCATCTTTCAGAGACGCTGGAATCCACACCGGCAGGATTCTGTGATTCCACAGCAGCAGCGGGGCTGCACCCAGCAGAGGGCAGCGCTACGGATGCAAACACTTGAGTCTGTGCCATCGGTTTGCCTGACTTTGTTTTAACTCCATCAACCAGTGTCTTTTTCTTTCCTGTCACTTTCACTTAAAATGAAGCATATTTCAAAGGAGAACCTTTACTTTTACAATTTAATCTGTTCAGAAATCCATTTAAAGTGGAAAGCATCAGTAGGAACAAGGTTTTCCTCCTAAAACTATAGCTGCGTTGTTAAATTAAAATATAAGCTCTTCTGGAAATAACACACTTGTTCTAACTGCACTCTCCCAGCGGATCAGAAGGCGGAGGAGCCTGGCAGTAGGCTCTCGGACAGACTACAGTTTGGAGCTTGCAGATGGGCTCCTCAGAAAGCCCAGTCAATTACGGACCGACAACGGCACTGGGGGGGAAAGCCCGCACACCCGGAGTGTGTTCAAATAAACTCTACGGAACCCCCAGACGCGGCACCGACGAGGGTCCCGCAGCGCCTGAGGGCGGACACCCGCCGGTGCCGGGGGAGCGGGGCCGGCAGCGCGCTGTCCCGCACGGTGAGGCGGGAGCGCCCCCCCCGCCCCCGGCCGCGGAGACACCGGCGTCCTCTCAGCCCAGGCTTGTACCACCGCGTGTGAGGAGTAAAACACGACGCCCGAGTTTCTCCCCGGAGCAGCTGCGAGGGGCGGCCCGAGAGCAGCGGGGCCCGGCGGGGGCCGCTACCCTCAGGGGAGGGGAGCCCCGGGGAAGGGGAGCGGGGGCAGCCGGGCCGCTCCCCGGCCGCCGCGGGAGGAGGCTGCCTTCCCTGGGCAGGCCTGAGCGCAGACGCAGCCCCAGCCCATCCCGCGGGGCCCTGACCTCACGGTCCCGTGTCCCCCGCCGGCAGCCGGGCCGCGGCGGCACCGTCCTGAGGAGGCCGCTGGAGCAGCACCCGCCACTTCCGCATCCGGGGCCGCCGGGCCAGCACGCGGGCGTCACGTGACACATCCACCACCACCACCACCACCCCCCCCCCCCACGCAGACGGGGCGGGGCGGGGCGGAGCGGCCGTTGGCGGGGGCGGGGCCACAGTACCGGCCGCCCGGGCCAGGCGCGAGCGGGACCGGATGCGGAAGTGATGTGAGCGGGGAGGGAGGGGGCGGGCGGCGC